TGAAGACTCAGGAAGGGTGTTTCTCATGGACCATGGAGGAGGACAAATGGATTGTCATTGAGAGTCTGTGAATGGGTGTAAACATTCATATTAGTCCCCTTCATATCCCAGGACACATGGCTTCTTTGCTGATTGGCTGGATTATAGTTAAGTACTGGCCTTACCTTTTCATGATGGAATTTATATAAGACTAAAGAAATACATAATGATCGCTCAACCGAGGCCAACCATGGACCTTATGGATTTGAATTTGTGATTTGGATAGGAAATAATATCTCACATGATACTGCTACAGTGGCAAAATGACAACCTAACTTTCATGTTTTGGGGGAGGGGGAGGTGATGATAAATAGGCTCTGACTGGACAAGGATGATCGAGAACTCCTGCCGCCATGTCATGAGTTTGACTTTCTTTTGTTTTTCTTTCTTTCTTTTGAGAGGATTGCTATTTACTTGTGAGCAAAAACTTTCTTAGGAAAAAAAAAGCAAAAACCCAAAGCAGTAAGACTCTCTTAAGAAATGCTAAGGGAGAAGATAGGATAGCTCATTAATTGGTGTATCAGTTTCTATATAATAACAAATGCTGGGTAGAAGTCATTAAATATTGTTATTGCACAAGAAGTAGTCAGCGTCCCTATGACAGCATCTGAGGGTCTTTACCACATCCTGTAAACTACTTTCTGGCATCACTGTACTAGTATTTCTCCAACAGAAGTAATTGTTTGTGTATATGTGTGTGTGTGTGTGTGTGTGTGTGTGTTGTTTTCTATAGATACTGAGGCTTCTTCTGAGAATCCTTTACAGTTCCTTTATCTATATAAATAGTTATCTTCTAAAAACCTCTACACACATCTCATCATTCAATGCAAGAGCCTTAAAGATGACATTAAAATAATAAGCAAGATAATAACTGTGTTTTTTGAATGCCGCCACCCCACCCCACCCCCCGCCTTCACAATCTACATGTTGGCTGCCAGGGTAAGGACAGTGAGAGTTTCTTAGAACATTTGATCAGCTCCCAGAGAGATGTCCCCTTAAATTTTGCTCCCTGGTACCTCTCACACTTACAACTGTCCTGATGGCTCCGCTAACTGCAATGGACTTGGGAAACGGGCTTTGCCTAGCACTAAAGTGTGTGATTTAGAATGTATAGATTCTCACCTGGGTGACAAATTGGTGCATTTAATGTCTTTCTTGTGTAGTGATCTCAAGGAGCAGCCCCCATATTAATATCTGCATCTACAAATACTTTCTCGTGTGTGCAGCTTTCTAGCTAGTCCTCCCACCATTTTTCTTCCACATAATTTATTCTGAGAATGTATTTCTAAATTGGGTATTTTTAAAAATTATATTCCATTAAAAAGATAGCCTATTTTAAGCCATAAAGATCACAGGTGTTCCTACTCTACCAAAATGTCATTCCAACGAGCCTATATCCCATGTTTTACAACAACACAATTGTGTTGATCCTTCAAATAATTTAAAAATACCTGGGTGACTCCTTTGTGAGAAATATCTCATAAGCAAAGGATTGAGAGCAAGAGTACTGAGGTCAGAGTCCTTTTGGGGAAGTCATTCATGGTGATAGCTCTGTTTTATCATCCATCCGTCTATCTATCTATCTATCTATCTATCTATCTATCTATCTATCTATCTATCTATCTATCTCTGAGCTAAGGATAAAACCGAGGCCTTGAATATGCTCGGGAAACATTTATTAATTCTTCTGGGGCTTTTATTGTTATTTGGGGTTTTGTTTTTGGTTTGTTTTGAGACCCCTTCTTCTATGTTATCTAGGCTGGTCTTGAATTAGTATCTTGAATTAGTAATCATGTATTTAATGGTGTCTTGACTCTGTTCCCTCTATTAGTCCCTATATGAGGCAAGTGCATAGGAATAACAATGATGCATTTGTGTGTATTTACTGAGTAGTCAGATTCAATGGTAGTCTGAGTCTGTCAACTTAGCTGTTTTGCAACAGCCATGCTCATGTCTGTCTAAAATAATGGCATGTTTATCTAGTTCAGCACAAAGACATTCTTTAGCCTCTTCTATGGCTGGGTGAAGCCACATGAGTTTTAGTGAAGGCTGTCAGTAGAAGTGTTCTATGAAACTTTCTAGAAGCTTCCTTAAGAGACAAGGCATTCTTTGTTCTCTGTCCTCTTTTTCCATCCTTCCTGCTACATGGATCACAGATGTGATTCTCGGAAAGCCATTCTGGACCATGAAAGCTGAGGACAGCCCTGAAGCGGTGCAATAGGCAGCTGGGCTTCTGAGGATCCCAAATCACTGAGAGATGTATCCATGGTTTTCAGTATTAGCCAGTGATTATGAATTTTGTATTTATTACTCTGTCTTCATTATCTCTTATTCAGAAACCCTTCAAGGTAGACATTGTATAATTCTATAGTGAATGGAAAAAGCTTTCTGCTGTGGAGTAGGAGCACTGGAATCCTCAAACTCAAAACCGATGCAACTCTTCACATGGTTCTCTGCTGCCCCCTAGTGCCTCGCTTCTCACTCTCACTCTTACTTTCCACAAGAAAAGAACAAGCTTTTGAAAATGACATCAAAGCAGCCAATTTTTGATTTTTTGGATCCCTTTCCCCTAGCTGGGCTCCCTTGCCTGGCCTCAGTGGGAGAGGATGTGCTTAGTCCTGCTGCAACTTTGGTACCCTTTGGAGGCTTCCCCCTCTCTGAGGAGGAGAGGGGGGAGTAGAATTGAGTAGAGAGTGGAATTGGGAGGAGAGGAGGAAGAGGGCTGGGGTCAGGCTGTAAAGTGATTAAATAAATTTAAAATAAATTTAAAAGCAGCCGTTTTCCAATTCTTATGGCCCGAAATGTGTGTCACGTTCTGCTTAACGAAGCCAAAGACCAGGGAAGCTAAGTTCATTGGCCAAGGTCACATGATATAGGTGGAATGGAATCCAAACCAGGCAGAGAGCACTGTGTGTGGAGGAATGATAGCTGGAGTAAGCATTGAGGAAATGAGATGATAGTCAAGGAAGCATTCAATTTGGCATGAGGGTTTACTGCAAAGACAGGGAGGGCCACAGGCTTGTTGTCATCACTGGTTTTAGTCATTCTTCTTGATGTGAAAGAAAAGGGTAGGAAGATTTCTCATTTTACCAAGGTGAGCTACCATTGATGTCAGAGTAGTCAGCTGTGGTCAGGAGAGTGGGGACTAAGTTGGTAACATCAAGGCACGCTGTGGAACTCTTGTCTTAAGGAAAGAAAATAACAGATCTTAAATTCTTAGACATGGGGCCCGAGGGTTCCATCTTTGTCTCTGTCAAGGGATTTGGAAGTGATCTCACTTGAGATGGAGCCAGCTGTGAAAAGAATGCCCGCAGATGATCGCTAGCTATTTCTGCCTTGGGTGGGAAGGTATGAAGCTCTTAGGGTGATTCAAAGCTAGTGAAACATTGTGGTCAATCCTTCTGATAGGCAAGAGAGCCGGTCACTCTTTCAACTGCCGCCCCAGACCTCAAGGTCCCAGGGTGTCAAGGTCTCAGCTTCTAATCCAAGCTTGCTTGTCAAGGGATTTTCTCCAGAACAAATACAACACCAACACCCTTCTAAAAACTGGCACTAATAGCTTCACAGGCACTGAGCAGTTTTATAAGAATTTTTTTTCTTTCTTTCTACAGGACACTCAAAATGATGCAACAGGTAGGTGTTCTGGTTTTAGTTCCATTTCTGTGATAAAATAAAAAAAAAAGTAGGGGGAAGAAAAGTTTGTTTAATCTTGCAACTCCAGGTTACAGTCCATCGCTGAGGGAAGTCAAGCCTCAAGGCAGGAACTGGAAGGAAGGCCTGCTTGCTATTATTCCATACAGCATTCCTTCAACCAAGGAACTCACTTCCTGGGCAAAGAAGTGTGGTGTGAGCCACAGAGGACACTGCTTGCTAGCTCGTGCTGTTAGCTTTTTATGCAGCCTAGGGAATGGTGCCACCCATAGTGGGGTAGGCCCTCCCACATCAATCATTGATCAAAACAATCCCCGCAGATATACCCACAGGCCAATCTAGTATAGGGAGCTCAGCTAAGGCTCTCCTGTCTCTCATATGACCACAGGTTGTGTCAAGTTGACAGTTAAAGCTGACCTTGACAAACGGTATTACTGTGACTCTCATTTGAAAGAGGGAATCAGAGCCTACGCTAAACAGTTATTTATATGAGGTCCTCACAACAGACAGATTTATGGAATGAATTTGAGCCTGATATAGAAAGCAACCATCAGGACCCATCCATACCTTCCATCCACTTCTGTAAATTCTATTCCCAGAAATAGCCATGACTGTTGTGGCACTGAAGGATAGATCAGTGTCTAGAAGGCAAGCAAAGATTCTTTTCCCTTTTCAGTGGAGCGACTGGAGATGACATTTTTGCCTGAATGCCTCTGAACTCTGTTTCATGCCCTTCTGGGGAACCCATAAAGTCTAAATAGCGTTTATAAGATTTAGTCAAAGCTGTATTCTGTTGTTGCAGTGGGAGCAACTGACGGCTGCACGGTGTGGAGTGCCATGTGCAATGATTGGTAGTTTTCTCTCTCTGTAGGTCTGCTCTTTGCATGTTTTTAAGTGCTACCTCACATTGTGTCACCTCGCAAGAACTATGTGTTTTGTTATGTCACTGCAGCATATCTTTGGAGGAGGTGAATTTTCTCCATAGAGAACAGATGTGTTATTGCACAGTTTTCAAACTAAAGATTTTTTGTTTAACTCTGAAACAAAGAAACAAACTTTGCTTATGAGCAAATACATTGCCCATTAAGGGAATCAGGAGCTGATTCCTGGGCAGCTGGTTCTTATGGAGGAAGAGGGAGCAAGGGATATATGAGAAGAGGAACGCCTTAAGGGAAGCTGTGGCAGGGAAAGGAGCAGAGAAAACAGCAGAAGGAAGAAAGCCTAAGGGGAGAAGGCAACTAAAGAGGTAGAGAGCTGGCATGAGATCCTGTACAGGAGTGACCAGGCCACATCCCTCTGTCTCAGTTGGATCAGCTGGGCCTGCTCCAAAGGAAGAAGTTGCATCTTGACGAGGGGTCATCAGGAGGACCTTGTGGCCTGGAACACATGTAGAAATGGCGGCCCTGGTTGGGACCTTGTTTTTTCACAGTACGCATCACACATGGCTCCTTGTGGGCTCTGCAGAGGGGCATGGGTGAGGGCCCCGTCAGCACAGACTTCCAGAACAAGGTCCGTATCTCCTTCTCATCTTTGACTTCAGAAGCCTTGGCCTTCTCATCCAATGTTGTGGCTATCACACCCTCTTTCAGAGTCTTTGGGGTTACAGGAGTGTCCACCAGAGGCAGTCTGGGTAGTTTCTCAGGAGAGGTTTGAGGAAGGCCAGCAGAAGGCTGAAAGTAACTCATCAGGTTTCTCTGGTGTCTTCTGGATCCACTCTTTCGAGGCCTGGATGCTTGCCCGTAGGCTTGGGCTTTTCGTTGTTTCTGTGCCTGGACTGGACTGCTGAGCTGCAGGAGTAACTGCTCCCTCATGGGTTCTTGTTCACGATGGGCTAGGAAGCCAAGAATCTTGAGCTGGGTCCCTGAAAATTCAGGGAGAAAACGAGTACACAGAGCAGGGCATTGTTTGGCTGGCATACAGGACACATTCAAGGCAGCTCCCACAGGGCAGTGGTCAGAGCCCATCACCTCAGGGAGCAGATAGGCAGCTTGGAGACTGTCTATAATGAGAGCCCTATCTCCTAGTATGTAGTCAATTCGGGCACCATAGTTGAGGCTGCGGGCACCACTGATCACTGACCAGCAGGTGAAGGCCTTCTCCTGTTTTGGATAGAAATAGCGATAGCTATCCATGAAAGGCCCAACACGGGATCCAGCCTGGTACTCCAGGTTACTGAGCAGTCCATCCATCCACTTGCGTCCCAGGTCTTCTTCAAAGCACTCCAGACTACCAGCATCACAGTGGTCAATGGGACGGTGGGCTGTATTCAGGTCCCCCAGGATTATCACATGACTGCCTGCTGCCAGGAGTGCTTCTGCCCGGATCTGCAGCAGGCGATAGAAATGCATCTTAAAGGCCAGCCGCTCAGGCTTCCCAGGATCCGCATGCGGGCAGTACACATTGATGAGGGTCAAAGGCGTCTCTTTCCCTTCCCACGTGCAGATCTTGTGCTGTGTAAGGAGAGCCCGACCCTCACTATCCAGAGCCCGGAGCTGCTCTTGGGTGAACTCGGTCATGTTTCCATAGCAACCGACATCCCTGTTCAGGGTGGCAAACTGACCCGTCAAGCCTTCTTCAGCAGCCACTGGGGTGGCACTGTCCCTACAGAAAGTGGCTACACCAGAATAGCCGCTCCGGCTGCGGCTGAAGCTGAAATAGGAGTTATAGCCCTCAACAATAGCCAGGGGCTCTGTCAGCACATCTCTGGTCACTTTGGTCTCCTGGAGACAGACAATATCAGCATCCAGCTCTTTCAAAATGTGTTGCAAGGCCGTGGCACAGTTGCCGGGTACCTGGTATTCGAGACTTTTCAGGGGCCTCCGGATGCCATTGATGTTCCAGCTTACCACACGCAACATTTTGGTAAACGGTGCAGTTTCTTAAAGAATGTATAGGTACTGGCAAATTCTTACCCGGAAGTTGACTAGCTCCCATCGTCCTAGTGCGTTTGCGCAGGCGTTCTCAACTCCCAAGCCACCAGAGCTCACAGGCCCTTCTAGTTCTCTTTAATGGGAGTTGAACTATGATAGAAACCCCAGAAGGGTGGTGCAGATCTCAAAAAGGAAGAAAAGCTGATTTGCACATGCTTGTAACCCCAGAACTCAGGAGTCTGAGGCAGGGGGCTGTGATGAGTTCAAGAAGTACCTGGGCTACAGAGCAAGACCCTGTCCAAAAGCTTGGGAAGAGTGAGTGCTGAGAGATGCATCTATGTCCTTTTCTTCTGGCCACACACAGGCCTGGACTCTTGAACTCCTGATTACCTCTCTCCTCCATTCATAAGTTCCCATGATGCATTAGGCTAGTTGCAACTGGATTTCCAAAGGCTGTTACTAAAAAGCAAAACGGATGATCTTTTCTAATTCCCACCATTTACCTGCAAATTTCATGATTTATTTTTTATTGCTGAGTTATATTCCATTGTGTAAATGTACCACAATTTCTGTATCCATTCTTCAGTTGAGGGACTTCTGGGTTGTTTCCAGCTTCTGACTATTACAAATAAAGCTGCTACAAACATGGTTGAGTAAACGTCCTTATTGTGTACTTGAGCCTCTTGGATATATGCCTAGGAGTGGTATGGCTGGATCTTGAGGAAGCGCTATTCCTAGTTGTCTGAGAAAGTACCAGATTGATTTCTACAGAGGTTGTATAAGTTTACATTCCCACCAGCAGTGGAGGAGGGTTCCCCTTTCTCCACAACCTCTCCAGCATGTGTTGTCACCTGAGTTTTTGATCTTGGTCATTCTGATGGGTGTAAGGTGAAATCTCAGGGTCATTTTGATTTTCATTTCCTTGATGGCTAATGAGTTGAGCAAGGAAATTTTGAAATTTGCAAGTAAATGGTGGGAACTAGAAAAGATCACCCTGAGTGAGCTATCCCAGAAGCAGGAAGACACACATGGTATATACTCACTCATATAGACATATAATATAGGATAAACCTACTAAAATCTGTACACCTAAAGAAATCAATCAAGAGGTAGGACTCTGGCTAAAATGCTCAATCCCCATCCTGAAAGGCAAAGAGGATGGACATCAGAGGAAGAAGAAAACAGGAAACAAGTTAGGAGGCTGCCACAGAGGGCCTCTGAAAGGCTCTGCCCTGCAGACTATCAGAGCAGATGCTGAGACTTATGGCCAACTGTTGGGCAGAGTGCATGGAATCCTATGAAAGAAGTGGAAATAGTAAGATTTGGAGAGGACAAGAGCTCCACAAGGAGAGGAACAGAACCAAAAAACCTGAGCACAGGGGTCTTTCCTGAGACTCATACTTCAACCAAGTACTATGCATGGAGATAACCTAGAACCCCTGCACAGATGTAGCCCAAGGCAGTTCAGTGTCCAAGTGGGTTCCATAGTAATGGGAACAGGGACTGCCTCTGACATGAACTGATTGGCCTGCTCTTTGATCACCTCCCCCTGAGGAGGGAGCAGCCTTACCAGGCCACAGAGGAAGACAATGCAGCCACTCCTGATGAGATCTAATAGACTAGGATCAGAAGGAAGGAGAGGAAGACCTCCCCTATTAGTGGACTTGGGGAGGGGAGTGTGTGGAGAAAGGTAAGGGAAGGAGGGATTGGGAGGGGAGAAGGGAGGGGTTTATGGGGGGATACAAAGTGAATAAAGTGTAATTAATAAAAATTACAAAAAAAGCAAAACGGTGGTCGTCCTATCATTTAACAGTTAACCAAGCAGAGTCTTCCCATGTTTATAACTTTAAACATGGTCTCGGAAGAAACAGGCCACTGAAGAGGAAGTCATTGTGGCTGGCTGATGCTGTCTTTTGTATCTCAGAGCATGCAGACTTGAGTTGGGCTGTTTTCGGGCAATGGAAGAACAACACAGAGAGTAACCTGAGACAAAGCCAAAGGAAAAATATGTATTTTTTCCAAATACTCAGTAGTTTTGTTTGTTAGCTAAGAACACCGATTGATGTTTATTGATGTTAATATTGTATATTGATGTTAATATACTGATTACTGTATATTGTAACTGTGGTGTGGCTCAGCCTGAGCACAGACCTTTAACCCAAGAGCTTCCTGTAAAGAAGAGCTAAATAAAGTCAACCATAGGTCAAGAGGCAGAACAAGCAACAGCTGACAGAAAGTGAACATATAAAAATACAGGGAGAAATATTGAGATGAAGGGTATTTAAAGAAGCACGGAGAAGCAAAAGGGGCTTTTTTTTTTCCTTTTGGGACCTTGGTTGAGTAGGAAGGTCAGCTGGATGCTTTCTCTGACTCTCTGAGCTAGTAGGTTTTCATGCCAGCATGTGGCTCCTGAGATTTTATTGGTAAAATCAACTATTTGGAATTTTGTTTAAAAACAACATCTTCCCACCTCAAAGATCCAGATTATAAGTGTGTTTTCTAACTTCAGATGATTTAATCAAGAAGAAAATCCCCCACAGTGTACCTAGCCCTTTAGGTCTTAGTTAATTCCAGATGCAGTCAAGTTGAAACCAAGACTTCTCCACCATACCTGTTCTTCTCTGTCTTCCTTTGATCAAAGATCCAGTTCTTTTAAGAGTCCTCATGGCTATAGCCATAATGGACACACAGTGGATAACCCAGATATTTCTCACTGGCATCTGGACCACTTGGGAATTTAAGTCTTGGTTTGACAGACCAGTTCTGACAGGGATTCAGGTTTGCTCCAGGTTTCAAGCATCTCCCCCTACAGAATGTCTTCAGACCCAGATCCCCTTCCAAGATGAAGTACACAACTTGGAAGACACACCCAAGAAGACTCCTCTGAGGGCAAGTATTGAGCCAGTGGAGATCTCAGAGGAGGCAAATCACAGGGTTTTCACATGATCGTGTGGCCTCAAAAGCCACAGAGGTGTCCTGACAGCTAAGATGTTCTGTTGTCTCCCCATTTCCTTATAGTGGTTCTCAACCTTCCTAATCCTGTAACCCTTTAATATCGTTCCTCATGTTGTGGTGAGCCCACAAACATAAAATTATTTTGTTCTTACTTCATAACTGTAATTTTGCTATTGTTATAAATCATTTTGTAAATATCTGATATTTGACTATGGGCTGACCCACGGGCTGAGAAATGCTGCTTTATCACCATAATATACTACCCTAAACCCATTCTCTCTATAGTCCTGACTTTGAGAGTCTATATGATTAGCCCTACAAGCTGTCTGAAGCCCTAAGGACTTGATGGCCTATATGCACAATACATAGTCCACATTCTTTTTCTTATGTGACTGCTAGATTACTGTTTGCTCATAGACTGTCTATTCCCTCTCTACACACTTCCTTTTTCCTTTATAAACTACTCTCACCACCCCTACTGTGTCTTCCATTATAGATACTCTAAGGGTGTAGAAACAGCCTGACCCTTACATCCCTCTTCTAACTTTTTTAGGCTTACCCTTTTCCTGTTGTAATGACATTTGACTTTATAATGTTTGATGCAGTTTCAAAGAGAGTTCTGAAATGGTAGGTGAATGCTTGAAAGTGTGTGTGTGTGTGTGTGTGTGTGTGTGTGTGTGTGTGTGTATTTTTGCAGGACATTTGATCACACTGTGAAACCTGAGATGTGTTATTTACTGGAAAAACCTGTTTCTAGTTGTGGTGTGGCTCATACTTAACACACACCTTTAATCCAAGAGCTTTCTGCTTGAATAGTGTAAACAGGATCAAATAAAGTCAGCCATAAGTCAAGAAAAAGAGCAAGCAGCCAATTAATAGGATGTGAACATAGGCATATTAAGGAAAAAAAAACAGAGAGGAATAGAATGACAGGAGGATAGATAGACACACCGGAAGTAGAAGACAGGGACATTCAATTTGAAGGAAGGTTTTTAAATATTTATTTATTTTTCATTTATTCACTCTACATCCATTGTCTTATTTTGATCCCACCCTCCTTGTCTCTTCCCCCTATTTCTCTCCCTTAGTCTTCAGAAAGGGGAGACCTCCTCCCTTACCAACTGACCCCTGCCTATCAAGTTTCATCAGGACTGGCTTCATTCTCTTCCTCTGTGGCCTGGCAAGTGATAGAGGTGATAGAAGTGATAGAGGAGCAGGCAACAGAGTCCTTGTCCAGAGACATCCCCTGCTCCCCTTACTAGGGAACCCACATGGAGACTGAGCTGCCTATCTGCTTCATCTGAGCAGGAAGCCTAGGTCCTCTCCAAGACCCAACTATACCACTCCTGGCCATATACCCAAAATATGTTCCACCATACAACAAGGACACTTGCTCAACTATGTTTATAGCAGCTTTATTCATAATAACCAGAATCTGAAACAACCCAGATGTCCCTCAGCTGAAGAATGTATAAAGAAACTGTGGTACATCTACACAATGGAATACTATTCAGCTATTAAAAACAAGGATATCATGTAATTTGCAGGCAAATGGATGGATCTGGAAAAAAAATCATCCTGAGTGAGGCAATCCAGACCCAGAAAGACAAGCATAGTATATACTCACTTACATGTGAATATTAGCCATATAATACAGGACAACCATACTACAATGCACAGACATAAGAAATGAAGTGACAAGAAGCACCCTAGGGAAGATGCTTAATTCTCATTCAGAAGGGCAAAAAAAAAAAAAAAAAAAAAGACCCTGCAAGCAGTTGAAGAGCAGGAACAGGACAGGAGCCTACCATAGATGTCCTCTGAAAGACTCCACCCACCAGGGGATTGCAACAGATATTGAGACTCACAGCCAAACTTTGGGCAGAGTACAAAGAGTCTAATAGAAGAGTAGGGGGACAGAAGGACCGGGAGGGGACAGGAACTCCACAAAAAGACCAACAGAGCCAACAAATCTGGGCCCAAAGGGGCCTACAAAATCTGGTGCACCAACCAAGAACCATGCATGGAGAAGC